GCAAGAATGATTATACAGTACAGGTATTCCTTACACAGCATTGTATACTGCAAGAACATTGGCAAAACCCTCTTAAAACAGCTATACAAGCGGAATGGGCACACCTAATAGGACACTTCAGTCAATTAAGAGGTTGTATAAGGACAGCAGGTAACAGTTATACAATAAAAGAGTAAGCCTCTTGCAGCCGCTGTAAGACATTTGCGTCAGTGCAAGATTCAGCTTTTGTCAACTATACAACTATTCTGTTACGTGATTCTACTTTATTGCAACCAAACTATTCCTTATGTATTGTATAAACGAAGTGAAGAATATATAACTAACACATTATAGTCATCTTGTTTACTTACATATCGGCCATTGTGAATTTCATACACAGCTATATGATAAACTTCTACACTGTGATATAGGGTTATTGAATTACTTGCACAACAAATTTTATTGTGATTATCGTGCAAAGTAGTTACGCAATCTCTAGGGGCTTCGTAGTTGTTTCATATTTTAATAATGATCTAAAGTATGTCTAGACTTTTAAAATCGAAAACTGCGAAAATCTGCGTTAAATCTTCCACAAATCCTGTATTTAGACACAATTACACTAATTTTTATCACTTTGTAAGTATCTGTAATTTCGAACTGAAACATAATTATTTAATATTAAATAGAGGAATAAATGTTTGCTTAATATGGCGGGTGATTATGTATAATCAAGGCAAAGTCCATATTTTGGTGTTGCCTGCAGGTGTTATACAATGTGACAAACGTCTGAAATGAAATACCAACAGAGTCGAATGGTTTACCCAGAATTTGTACCAGATCTATATCTTCCGTTTGAACAGTTGATAAAACCTTTTGAACCAATATGCATGCGTTGTTTGTCTTAAAACATTGGTTATGGCATTTTAACAAAAATATGACAGCAGAAAGTTGGATTATGGTGAAGTTGTATACCAACATATTTAGCAACAAATGTATGCCGAGCACAGCAATTTTGTACTACAAAAGTTGTAATACTGTTGCATATGTACAGCCTTTAACAGTTACTAAGCAACAGTTGTGCGGAGCAATTTGTTGGCTAAAGTAGTAAATTTGCCCAGAAAAACAACAAAGCTCGGGTTTGTTTTATAAACGTTACCATGGATGCCATAACACAACCATTTTGACTACCGGGCAAATAATATTATGCCGTATAAAATAGTTGTATAAACCTTTACCTGTGCAACAGTTAAAAATTTGCCTATTAGGTGTTGTATAACTATGCTATAAGAATATTTCAAACACCTCGTTGTCGGTCTCAAGACATTGCTCAAAGGAATTAATGGGTTCCCCAATGTTCAGTGTGGACGGAAACGACAACGCGCCGCACATGATTACGAAGACTTGATTGTATTTAGTCCAGTAAATGATGAAATGAAATAATACTAAAGTTTAAAAAAAATTTGCAAGAGTTTAATAAATTTTATCCGTACTGTGCGACGCTGGGCATGAAGATTATTCAAAATCAAAAAAAATGGTGCATGGAAACAACTAGTAACCGATTGTAGCATTGAAAATGTATACTGTTGCGAAACACAGAAAAAAAATTAGTCTGATGGGATCATTTCGCCTCGAAAGAAAAGCAAAATAAAGATTTTGACACTCTGAAAAATACTGCAAGCTGCTACAGGAGTATCCAGTTGCCAAAAAAAAAAAACGCAAGGTTATGGATAAACGTCTTCTTGGTGATAGATTTTCGAAACTGTGTATCAATTTTTATTGTCGTTGGTGTTACCAACGTAAGCAGGTATTCAAAGTCAACCTTGGTCATTCTTGTAAAATTTTTGAATTGATCATACAGACTGTTTAATACTAACTCCTTTCGTATCCGATTTTCTTTTATTTTAATTAAATTATAGGGTATAATAAATGTTGCCGCGGCTATATGTCTATTTTCCATGTTAACCTCGTACACGCGAACGACTGGATCAGCCCATGCATTGAAAAATTAATTTCAGTTTAAACACTCTCCACCCACGCGAACGAATGCATGCGCGTATGCTCAGTGCGGGCATGCTCATATTATGTAAACGCACCTTGACAATAACATTCCCACTTTTTATTTTCTGTCATCTCCCAACCTCAATCATCCACTTTACTTTTCTTATGAAATATTGAATTTTTGCACAGATAGACTCTTTTATTCTGATTTCAAAAAGATAGTGAAGGCGCTGTTAATAGCTCTTGCCTACTAGATAAAGGCTAGATAAAAAAAGGTGGAAAGAAGTTTAGCAGATATCTGAAAGTTTAAAAAGGCAAATACATAAAAAGATACAGTCAGATATGCGTTGTTTTTATAAACAATGGGAAAAGCCCAAAATTCAGTATTTTAGTTGTATAATTTTTAATTAAAATTTTATGAATAATCGGTAAACTGGAGGTTAAAAATTTGTGAGAATGAGGGCAGCATTCACGTTAATAAGTGTACTGAATTTCAGCCAATTGATTCAACATTCTATGTAAAAAGCTAATTGTTTATCCCAGAGACGACTTATTTACTTGCCCAAGATATGGTCTTAGAATATTTTACAAACGTGAAATGGTTTCTTGAATGTTTGAACTTCACGATTTTATGCAAAACATTTTTTATTCTTCACAAAATTGTTGTAAACAATGATGTTCTGGATAGGTGGAAAAACGCATATTTTAAAAAACCTTCTACGAGTATATTACCAGTTACAAACATGGTTAGGCAATAAATTAGATCCAATCAAGTATGGGTGGAGGCGAAGTGACAAAGGTTCCGAACCGATCTATACTATGGACAGTTTAATACCGGACGATACTACCAAAGAAATTTCTGCAAATGTACTACTGGTTGCCAGACGGGTAGGTGCAGTTGCAAAAAACATGGCTTAAATTGCACACCTTTGTGCATAAATTGTAATGATGGTGATGATGACACAACATGCTACAACCTTGCTGTAAGTAGTTGGAATTGATGATGATGAAGAGAAGGCCGAGAAAATCGATGACTTATTTGAAGAAATGACATACGTACAAATGTTGAAAAAGAAGTAGACCTTTCAAATAAAAGATTTAGAGGAGAGAATCAAGATTGAATGAATAATAAAATATTATAATAAAAAACACATTATATAATATTATTACACAAATAATGCAAATAAAATAAATATAGATGAAAGACAAACGTGAATCAATATTTTTACAATCTATTAGAGTGTATTTTGTTAATAGTATACCAACTAACAGCATTATGAATTGTTTAAACAATTTTATTATAAAATGTAAATTATTTTGTTGGAGTGGGAGTAACAGTGAATGATTTATTAATTCATTATTATTTCATAGTAATTTGATTTTGAAGAATACAACGTGTTAAGTTTCCCGGAACTTCCCGATTTTCCAGGAAAATGAAAATGTACCAGATGTTATTATTTCGACGAGCTATCCCAAATTAAAAAAGAAGGTTCTACGTTCCTTATTAATTTCAAAAAATAAATACAGCTAGAGCTCACTCCCCCACCACCACACCCGTAAATACTTACGCGAGTACCTTCACTTTAGGTGGCTATTTCTTAAAGACCTTTAAGCGAATTGAGATTCTTGCTTAAGATCTGTGAAGGTTTATAAAGGATATATGAATACAAAAAAATTATCTTGTTTCCTATAGGTCGTAGACAGTTTCTTAACCACCTATCCATATCAGCTTGTTAAAATAAATTGTATTGAAATATAGCGAAGTTATTATAAATGTTCATAACTATAAAAATGGATATTTTTTAACATCATTTTTTACAACAATTTTGAAATAAGTGATTAATTTTATGCATATCTTCAAGAATACATTTCACTTTTGTAAAATGTTCTAGGACCATGTCTTCGGCAAGAACAGATGTTTAAATAATTCGTCTCTAAGATAAACAATTATGTTTTTACATAAAATATTAAGCCGATCTGGCTGAAATTTAGCACGAATATTAAAATCAATGATGCTCTCATTCTCACAAATTTTTAGTCATTTACAATTGTTACTGCAATAGTTTTAAACATTTATTCAATATTACTAAAAAACCTCGTATTTAGCTTAAGTTTATGGATTTTAATTCTTAAGAAATAAAGTTGAAAGTCTTTTTATGCTCTAAAGTCTCCAAGTTAGATACCTATTATTTATGAAATTTGATTTGAAAATTATACGAGCAAGATACTAAATATTGGGCTTTTCCCATTGTTTGTCAAAAAACAACGCATATCTGGCTGAATCTTTTTATGTATTTGTCATTAGAAAGACATTTAAAACTTTCAGATATCTGCTAATTTTTTTTACACGAAATACATATTTTTTCTCTGTAACGTCATTTTAAATTCCATATGGCGATCGCCGCAAAATATTGATTTATCATAATATTATATTTAGATTATATCTATCGAAATTTTAAGACAGATAAAGCAAGAAGCTTTTATAAGTCCTATTAATGAAGTAGTAATGAAGGTTATATAGAAATTACTAAACTAGTCATTTGACATCATATACTGAAAAGTTAAAAATAAGTAACAGAAACAATACATTTTTGAGAACAAGCTTCTATTTATATCTTCATAAAATTGACTACAATTTTAAAAATATGTTTTCCGATTGGAAATATTTTAGCGATAATGAAGTTTTCAAATAAAAATGTGTTAGCAATTTTGCTTTAATTCTTCTGTACTTCATCTAGCAATTAAACTATATTTCACGAATCCAATATGTCTTGACGTTTACTGAGGTAAACAGCTGATCATCAAGTCACATTCTTTGTATTAAAGTGGTGGCATTCATGAATCAGGTGTGAATCGGATAAAACTCAGGACCGTATTTGGAACTGTTTATACCAAATACCGATTCTTTTTCATAGATCTAGTCTAGGCATTATCTTCGCCTTTCGCGATTGCCAAACAAAAAGTGCGAAAACAGAAATAATAAATCTTTCATTTCGTTGACCTTGTTACACTAAAAACGTAGGTGGAATTGTTAAATCTGTCTGAAGTGACCCAGCGGTGTTCTATATACGAGTAAAACGCGATAACCCATTTTTGCAACAAAAACAAAACACATCCGCTAGCTGGCCGAGAGTGTGGAGGCATCGTACCATAACAATTTAATATATTTTCAGAGTTCAGAGATAACCAGTTTTAATTGTGCTGTAGCTTGCTCTCTCAGCTTGTGATTCGCGGCTGTGAGCTTGCTAGAAAATTGGTAAAAACACGAGTTTGACGCTTTGAAGCTGCTGATTGCAACGCTAAGTTTAGGTTAAGGTTTTTGTACTTTGGATACTTTTTCCTTGTGATGGATAAGTTATTGGTGGTGTTTGTTGTTTTATCTAGCTTAGAATATTATGGATGTAAGTATTCCTTTTTTATATGGTTAGTAAAAGATAAGGATCGGATGGTATTACGGCCTCAGAAACAGAAAACTTCAATGCAAGTTAAAGGCAGTACCGGACAATCTTGTTGAAATTTTGAGTAATACCAAGGATGTGAAGTAAAAAAAATCGTATGTCGAGAACTTTTATAATGTATAAGGTCATTCAGAATAAATATCAACGTGTCATTCAGGTGACAAGTAGTAAGAAGAAAATATAATGTTGTCAGTCCAGGTGGTTTTGTTCAGGTTGTTTATTCTGAACAGCAAATGTTTTCAGCAAACTAATTATTTTCGAATTACGATAGGCTAAAGTTCAAAGATTCCTCTACAAGATGCCCAGTTGGAATTAGTCATTATTTAATACCAAAATAACTCTTTTCAATTGTTAATTATGAAAATTAAAATTGTGCATATTTGTGGTTACTTTATAAGTATTTCGAAAAGGGTTAACCAAAGATAACTCACTATGGATGCCTTTGTTCAAAATGAGTGAAGAATTTGAAAAGATATTGCCGAGCAGAACTTTCGTTTTTGTTGATTGATGGTATAGTGGAATGGTGTATAGAATGTGAGTGTTATTTTTTTTAATATCAATACTTTTTGCGTAGGTGACGAGTTGGTTCATTCGTGTATTTAGGGTGCCCTCACAAAGGTGATTATGAAAAAAGTATTACGGGAATATTTTTCTCAAAGTAGCTCTGATTTTCGACTTGTTTGATCAGCGTGTGATGACTACTTGTCGCAATGCTTTGAAATAGTATGAACCAATTTTCGAAAGGGGGTATAGTAGAGAAATATTTGAACTATAAGCTTTGATTAAGGCACATGGCGACCTGAAGATTCATTATTTTTTCTAATTCTAAACGATCACTTTCAAAATAAAATCTGACAATAGGTTACCTTTTACTCACAATCTTTGTGAGATAAGAAGAACAAAAGGTTTATTTTATTTATTGATTTAAAAACGTTCTGTCCCTTCCCAAGGAAGTGATTATGAGAAAAACAAAATTTTTAAACGGAGCTAACGTAGCGTTGTTCAAAAGGGTACCAACTAATAAAATACTATGAAATTGGTTAAAGGTGTCGTACTTTCAACATTTTTTACGGCTCTGTAATGTATAATGTTTGCGAACTTGTTTATGTCGTAGTCTTAAACATTATTTTAGCGCTGCATAAATGATTGGAAATATTCAGTGATCAGGCTAAATTTGTGATAATGTTACAACTCCGGAGCATTTCTAAGTTCGAATTCGAAGTCTATCTGAAGGAAACTCCATCAGTTAACTGATGTTATTTATGTTATGAGCCAGTATAATCAATAACGATTGTACATGCTGTGGTTATACGAGTATGCTCATTATAATCTCTTATATTTTTTTGTCGTAAAGCCTAACTCCTCAGGCACTATATTTTTCAGATGCTTCAATATGTAAACCATACTCTTATTTCACCATGGACTGTAATACATGTAGCTGTGATAGAAGTGGGAAAGAATATTCATGTACAAGATTTATTTGCCCAGTTAAGGTAGGATTTGCGTGTTGAGCAAAATTGTGTAATGAATGCATTATTATTTTTTGCAAGATTATAATGAATGATTTTCAAACTTAATTTGTGAAACCTAATGATATAGTGTCTATTTTTACAACGTCTTATTTCAAGGTTTTATTTTGTTTCGTTCCATATGCAAGTATTGCGTGAGCAACAGCTTTAAAATACCATTCATTTATAAGGATTCTTAAAAAAAAAATTCGAACAGAACGAATAATAGTTGTGACTACAGAAATGCACCAGGGCCATTGCTTATTGAGTTACTTCCAGCAAGTACTGTGACTACTTGTGAGTTTTTATCAAGGGGACGCGGATATTGTTGGTTAGGTCGAGGAGTACCTTAATTAGGGCTACACTACTCCAACGAAAAATGTGAAATACATTTATGTCAGAAATTTGATAATTGCTGGATTTACCTTAATAAAAATTATCATGTACAAAAAAGGGTTCGTCACTCTATGAGAAGAAGTTTGAAGCTTTACATTCTTAAAATTTTGAATGGTTTTTATAAAATCAGAATCTTGAATCGCGATTTTTCACACGAATTAAACTATACAAGGTTGCTGCGTCCCCAAGCAGTGATAACCTCCAGGTCTCTCGCAGAGAGGAAGTCGCCGCTCATTGCTGTTGTTCCAATTGACCGTACCGGAAAGGAGGTCTCTAGATATGTAAGAGGAACACTGTCGGAGCCAAGACCGATCCCTCGGACTCATCCGCATTTACTTTGTGGGATGAACAGGAGAACCCTCAATTACGACGAAACAAACATCTCTTCAAGGAAAGACGGAAAAAAGTATCTTTAAAACACTCTGTATATTCCGGAAAGCTTACATGTACCTACAAATAGTCATAGTTGAACATCGACCATGTTCTTCCGTTTTTTCTCGGATTTGATCAAGCGAATCAGAAACATTATTGATACAACATGTTGTATATCGCGTTATATTTTTTAATAAATGTCAGCTTATTGTGGTGTATTTAGAACTTGTTTTAGACTTACGAGGAGAGATTCATCATCGATAAAACTGAGGATGGTCACACCTTGTTAAAACCAAGACCCAGGAAAGAGCAAGGAATAGACATAAACGATGGCGAATATATGTTCGTCGGTTCTACTATTCACAGTAGGAAAATAAGAGTTTCTCCAAAGTTTCGATACACAGATGACGAAGTTCCTTCATCAGGGTCAGATACTTATAGTGATGAAATTGCAAATCACATGGATAATCATATTGAAGAACGTAATGGAAAAGGGTAAGGATTCTCACACAGCTTATATCTTCTTGTATGGTGAGGATCAATCTTTTTACCGATCTATCTCTTCTCACTCATAAGTGAGGGAGGTATTGTGATCGCAAACATTTCCAAATTTCAGATAGTGGCTCTCAAAATCAATGTCAGTTATTATTTTCGGCGGTTAATATGCCTGTCTGTCAGCATGTTTGTGAAATTCTACCAACATAATTTCAGAAACGGCTGCATCGAGTGGGACATGCTCTGGGGTAGTAGGTAATGCTATTTCACTTTTAAGAATCGGTTTAGTTCGTCGAAGTCAAGAGCAAAAAAATTGCATATCGTTTCCAAGGCTTTTGTAACATTCACCACTTCTTATAATTTGTCGGTATATCGAAGTAACTGCATGACTGATTTTTTTATTTACACACCATTAATTACATTTATGTATTTCCATTCGTGCCTATTTAAAATACACACATAAACATGCCGCTATAATTGCCTGAGAGTTAATTTATTTGATAATCATTTATAATTTATGGGCGAAGTGAACACTAGAATTCAGCTGTACTGTCTTATATGTTATTGAAAATAGATATGAAGAAAATATCCAAACTAATTTTGTATCTATTCTCCCTTTAAAAGATAAACAGTATTTTTTTCTAGGTTGTAGCCATTTAGAACAAAGGTACCAATAAGGGAAACGTTTTAGATTATCTACCTTGCTTTAACTCCCAGGTAAAGCGGATACACACATAATGTAAAGTAAATATACAGTGTGCTACCCTAGATATTTTTTGAACGGGTTTACTATATTTCAATGTTAAATTGGTAGTCGACAGTCTCCAGATGGCGGCTGGGCGCCATTTTGGAACATATTTTAAATAGAATGGCGATTCCTGCGATACTATGGCGATTCATTTTTAAGCTTTACAAAACTGGTAGAATGCCAAAGTTTTTGTATCTTAAGTCTCTTGTAACTCAACAAGCATTCATCAAAACGTGTATCAATCTTCTTATACAGGAAAAATATATCCGAATATGCAACCAAAACATTTAAAAAATGTCAAAACTTCAATTTTTCAAACTGTATACCTCATATTTCATTGCACATTCGAATTACAAGAGGCGAATAACATACTATAACATTCTGATGATTAGTTGTTGAGTAGTTGAGATATAAGCGAGCATTTTGAAAGAGAGTGGTTGTATATTCTAAGGTTATAAAATACCTGAAAGGATCCTAAAAATAAGTGATCATCCCACTCTTTGTGTTATTTAAAAAATGTTACAAGGTGGCGGCCAGCCATTATCATGAAATTTACATTTTTAATATAGCATTCTTACGTTCATTTCATCATTGTAAATTTCAGCTTACTAGCTTGACCTGTTCAAAAGATAAGTAGAGGGTCCTTTTTGAAAAGCACTGGTTAGGAGCTTAATTATTGCTTGTTCCAAAAGCGATATTTGTTTCTGTTCATATTAGCATTTCTAAATTTTAACGCGAGTTACAGACACCAGATATGCATAATTGTAGAATTGCATTTCACATAGCTTGCACTTTTTACAGAGTTTATAAATATACCATAATTTGCATTGTATTCAGTTCTAGCTATTTTTCGGTCCGTTTCACATAAATTTTGTACGTTTTGAAAATAAAAGTTTTTTAAAAAACTTATTTCGGAGTCGTACTTCCGTAAGTGGCGCAGTCGCAGTAGGATCTACGTCGGGACGAGTTTCGCGAAGTTTCTATCGCAGATTACGGCGAGTACTCGGTTCGTTTTAACGTTTTACCTGACACGGACATCAAACCAGGACACTCCAAGAAGTTCCTGAAGAAGAAGAAGCCGACCAGAATAGTTGGGACTCATCCAAGGCGGATCCATTGAGGAAACCACCACCTGGAGCCTAGCGATAAGGATAGATAAGAAAACAACCACACCCAAGGCAGGATCCATCGAGGAAACCACCAACGGGAGATCAAAGATAAGATTAGATTTAAGGCAAATCACCACATCACAGATGAGAATCATCTTGTGGCTATCGTAAGACTCATTTCCTTTCGTATTTTCCCTTAGTTCCCATTATTTTTCTTATATCTACGACTAAAGCTAAAACGCTTGAAAATATAGTGTATGTCTTATAGTGACGATCTTGAAACTTTAATTGAGAGAATTGCCAATTGGAATCTATACAGAATGCCCGAAACAAGAGCGACTACTGCCTCAGCTTCAGGCGTTAGAGACGTAAATATATCTTTGCTTAGATATCAGGCTGATAACATTCCACCTTTCGATGGAAATCCTAAACAATTACATAGATTTATATCTTCTTGCGAAAATTTTCTAAGAGCTTTCCAAAATACAAATAATGTGAACGATCCAATCAATATTTGTTTGCTAGATACCATTTTGAGCAAATTGAGGGATCGTGCTGCAGATTTAATTGGTTCGCGATCAGAATTAAATTCATGGGTAGCAATAAAAGATTCTCTTACTGTAACTTTTTCCGATCAACGGAGTATTGATTGTCTCATTCAAGATTTAATATCAATAAGACCTTTGAGAAATGAAACACCTATGCAATTTGGAATGAGAATCCAGGATGCAAGGAGTTTGCTGTTTTCAAAATTAAATACTTCCATTGAAAATGCTATGGAAAAGTTGATCAAAATCAGACATTATGACGATTTTGCTTTGAAAACTTTTATTAGTGGCTTGCCATACCAAATGCAATTGGTTATCCGTTTGAGAAATCCCGATTCATTAGAACAAGCGTTATCATTTTGCACAGAAGAAGAAAATTTCATTTACTTTAGTACTGGGCGTAACCAGAACCTCCAGAGTTCCTTATACAAACCTCAACCTAGACTCAATCCTCATTTTGTCGCTAATCAACAGAATACTAATCGTACTGTCACAAATGGTCCACAAGTTATATATATATATATATATATTCAAACTTCATTTGTTCAAAGCTCTCAAAATCACCCGAAACCAATGATGAATGCTTTCCCTGGAAATTATTCTCATAGGCCTAATTTCAATAATAATTTTCCTCCTAGATCTCAGTTTTCTAATTACCCTTCCACTTCATATGCTCAAAATCAGACACAATTCCCGAGATTCAACCAGGCTAACACATCTGTTCAACGTCCACATTTCCAACAAAATTTCCAAAGGCCACCTTTCTCTACTAATAGACCTGCATATCCACAAATTACTGCAAGTAATAACAGTAATGTTACAACTAGGACAAGATATCCGATTCCTATGGATACGAGTTCAATCCATTCGAAACCGAATGCAAAATCATCCACCCAGCACTTATTTGCTCACCAAATTGAAAATGAACAATCACCTATTAATGAAACCATATTGACACCACCTACTAACGATTCTATGCTCAATGAAAACCAGTGCAATCCACCATATGAGCAATATGACTATTCTAATTATGATTTCTCTTGTGATGTTCCAAATCAGCATTTCAACCCAATGCTTGACAATGACACATATTCTCAAGAAGTTAACGACCCAACAATTGAACAACAAAATTTTTCCCATGTCCCTCCGAACATCGAACCGATATAATATATTTGAATAATATCCATACAGATCTACCTTACATTTATATTCCCGAATTAACTGCTTATTTTTTGATCGATACCGGTAGTTCCAGAGGTCTCATAGACCCCAAATTAGCGTATAAATTTTATTCAGATTATATTTCTGGCGAAAATTTCAATATTCAAACAGCTCATGGTATGACGTTCCATAACCAAGTAGCACATATTCCTGTATTCCAAATTTTCAATACTGACGATTTTCATAAATTCTACATTTTTGGCTTTTCTGATAAATATGATGGCATAATTGGTGCTGACCTATTAGAACAGCTACAAGCCAATATTGATTTAAAAAATAAAATGCTAATTACTCCTATGGCCCATATCCCCATTATTTTCGAAAATAAATCAAATTGTCCGAATCCACCTAAAAAATTTCAGACTTACCAAATCACCATAGCCCCTCGTACAGAACAAGTTGTGAAAATTCCCGTGAAGTTGAATAGCGGAACAGGTGTTCTCTAGAGTATACAAATTTTGGTAACAAATTAGAGATGCCTCAAGCTTTGGTGAATATTTCGGATAATTTTGCTATCACTACGATTATTAATTCGAGTGAGGAAGCTGTAAATTTAGAAATCAATAATCCTTTAGATATTGAACCTACAGAAATTTTTGATGTGCATCTTCACAGTGTTAATGAAACTGATGGAAATTTTGACAAAAATTATAATAGCATATTAAAGAATAATCTGCAAAGTTTACGTCTTGATCACTGTAATGAAGAAGAAGCGGATGCTATACACAAGCTTTGTTTAGAATTTAGAGACATTTTTCACTGCGAAAATATCCCATTAAGCTTCACTAACAAAATTAAACACAAAGTTAGGTTGACCGATGATACCCCCATCTTTACAAAAAGTTATCGTTATCCAGAAATTCATAGAAATGAAGTTAAACATCAAATTTCGAAAATGCTACAGCAAGACATTATTCAAGCTTCAACATCACCCTTTTCATCCCCTATATGGATAGTACCAAAAAAGAAGATGCTTCAGGCAAAAAGAAGTGGCGAATTGTAATAGATTATAGAAAACTTAATGAACGTACAGTCGACGATAAATACCCTCTTCCCAACATAATTGATATTTTAGACAAACTCGGTCGAAGTCAATATTTTACGACACTTGATCTGGCTAGCGGATTCCATCAGATTGAAATGGAACCAGAAGATATTCCAAAAACAGCTTTTTCAACTGAAAATGGTCATTGGGAATTTAAAAGAATGCCTTTTGGTATGAAAAATTCTCCAAGTACATTCCAACGCGTCATGGATAACATCCTGCGTGGTCTCCAAAATGAAATATGTCTCGTCTATCTAGACGACATTGTAGTTTTCAGTAGTTCTCTTCAAGAACATATTGTACGTTTAAGACAAGTATTTGCAAAGCTC